GGGGGAGAGGGAGGGGGAGAGGGAGAGGGATGCAGACACACACAGACATGCAGACACACACACAGAGACACCCCACACAGAGAGAGAGACATGCAGACACACACACACTACACAGAGACACATGTTGTTGACAGTCACTGACTGAAGTTGTATAAAAAGAGAAGCTAAGGTGTCTATGAACAGCATTTTAATGGCTTCCTCCATATCCCACTACTGTGGTTGAAGCCCTTCCTGTTGGTAAGGACTCAGACTACAAAACAAAGTTCTCAGAAGAGTTTGGAGTCTGTCTGCTCAAGTCTTGACAGCAAGAGGAACTCAAACCCCAAACCCTGCTTGGTAGGTCCATATATACCCTTGAGACTCAACCAAAGTGAAATCCAAGCTTAACCCCTGACACGAACTTATTCTTACACTCCAGGGTTTGCTGACTGTAAGTCCCCCAATGATATAATGTTCTAGCTCCTGGAGCCTGCAACACTCTGAGAGAAGTTTCAGCAGTGACACTAAGTCAGACTCTTTGAGATGGAGAACTTGTCCTGGTGCACCCTAACGTGACCATGAGCCCGGTTTGAGAGGGATGTAGCTATTTTTCCATGCATAGAGAGATACATGTGATGCTGCCACAAGCCAGGCAATGCTGCTGGCCAAGTCAAATCAGATGATGCAGAGTAAATGGCTTTCTGAAAGGAAGACACCCATGCCAAAACACTTGGACTTCAGCCTAGCGATATTGATCTGGACTTCTTGCTTTTGAACTAAAAGGGAATAAATTTATGCTGTTTTAAGACATCCAGCTTCTGACCATTAGTTATAACAGCCATAGAAAAATAACATAGAATTATATTCTAACTCTGGGACCCAATTTAGTCCATACTACTGGGCTCCTTCAGTGTGCCAGGCACCAGGAATCAGAAGACACTGGCTGGCTTGGGATGTCCCAGAGTTTTCAAAAGGCACATCAATAAAAAGCCCCATTGTACCATGAGCAGCTCTTGTAGGTCACTACCTCTCCACGTAGTTTCAGGTGAACTTCCAGCCCAGGCAAGCTTTGGAACTGTTTGTTCACGGAGGAAATGAGCCGATACAGTAGATAATCCACAGCTGCGAACAGCACCCACAGGTAGAGATAGGTCAGGACAGGAAGGAAAAACAGCCCAAGGTTTTTCCTCTCTTTGGGAGTCAGCTGAAAAGATGGGATGATGACATATTTCTTCCTTTCCTTCTTATTCAGCGGGAGGACACTGGGCCGCTGTTGGTACCTCTCCTTCTCATCAAACAGAACAAATTGTCTGGTGATGTAGATATTCTCATACTTCTGGCCACAAGGGCCCAGGAATCGCTTCAGGAAGAGGCCAGTGCTAACTAGGATGAGCAAAAGCCCGGCCAGGGCAAGCAGCTTCTGGCCCACAGAAGTTAGCAGCTCTGTGGTGAGCACCATATGGTGCAGGACACCCAGGACTTCTCCTCTAGTGTCATTCATGTGAGCCTCCAGGGCGTGGCTGGGACTAAAAAGGGAGACCACTAGAGTCTGGTTCCAAGAAATAAGGTCATCAAATAGATTCAGCGGTGTGGCAAGGCCATAAATCCACTGAATGGCTTCAGTATAACGTTCTAAAAGTGGAAAATGTGTTGAAAAGCTTTTTGCTCTTAGGTTGCAAGTCATGCTGTCTAGGAGACCTCTGAGGTTATAAAAAATATTTTCCACATGTCCGAAGATCACTACCCCAGTGCCAGCCGCAATCAAAGCGTTTCTACCTTCACGGAGGCCACACGAGAGAATGACCAGAAGAACGAAGCATCGTGCACGCTTGGAACAGCACAGAAAAACACAAGTGGTCATCCAGACAGCAGAGAGCAGGGCAACGGATGGCAAGATCCAGTAGAAGGCTACAGAGAGGAGGCTCGCCGAAAGGAAAGCCACAAAGCAGCAAACTCCCAAATGTTGGATAAAGTCCATCCAGCCAGTGCTTCCTGGAAACACATATGTCCCCCAAAGTCTTAGGAAAATATTGGTGCCCAAGGTCCAGAGCCTCATACTCCCTGTGTCCCTAGAAATAAAAAAGAAACTAAGTTCAGAAATTATTTAGAAATGAGATGGTAGATTAGCTATAAATATACACATATATGTGTGTATTAAATATATTTCTAATATATTAAAGATATATGTATATAGTATATGCTTATGATAATATCTTATAATAAGATATATATCCTTCCCTCTGTCCACTCCTTCCTTTCCAATGGGACTCCCACCAAGAAATGGGAGAAATAGAATATATCAAGTATGAGGTGATACCAGGACGTGGTGCCACATAACTTTAATCCCAACGCTTGATAAGCAGAGGCAGGCAAGTCTCTGAGTTCAAGGCCAGCCTGGCTTATAAAGCAAGTTCCAGGACAGCCATGGATGCAAAGAGAAATCCTGTCTCAAAATACAACCAACCAAACAAGCAAACTAAAGCAATAACAACTGGAGTTGAGGTCTGTTTCCGCATCTTTGGGTCTAGGTTGGCCTTATGATTTAGCCAGTTAAATGTGGCAGCAATGCCCACACGCCAGCCCATCTCCAAGGGACTATGACTCAGTTCTTCACGCTCTAGTCTAGCCCTGCCATCTGCTCTACTGTGGTAATTAGGGTCCTTTTAACACGTTAACAAATTATCACAGACTCACTAGATCAAAGAAATACCCATTTATTCTTAGAATTCTTCCTGGAGGTCAGTAGTCTAAAATGAGTCCCTAGAGCTATGACCCTTCTGGAAGATCAGGAGGAGAACTGGGCTACTTTCCTGTGCCAGCTCCTTGAGGTTTGAGGGGCATGCATTCTCTGGATCATGGCTCCTCCTTCCTCCATCTCAAAGCCACTGAGATTGTATCTCATAAGTATAACTCCTGAGTGACATAAAAATACCAAGGAACACTGTACCACATGTATAAGATTTAATGGGGGACACCGTGCGGCCTTTAAACACTCTCACGTATATTCTTTCTTGTAGAAGTATTGTGGAATAGGATCTGTGGCACAGCTTAACACTGTGGAAACTGGTGTGTTACATTGGGTTTGGTAGAAATGAACATAGGTGGGGGCTACGGGGCATGAATTGAAAACCAGACAGGAAGATCTGATTCTGTGCTCAGGCTGAGTGGAGTTAACAAAAGGCAGAATTAAGTCAGAGGAAACACGCACCTTAGGAATAAACACGTGTAAATTTCCAGGACAGGAATGGATCCTAGCAGAAAAGACATGTGAAGAAGACTCTTACATTGAAGACAGGCAGTATCCATTGCTTTTTTTTAACTGCTGCCACAAAATTCCTGACAGAATCAACCTGGTAGGGGATTGTAGGGTTGGGCAGCTTCAGTCCACGGTTGTTTGGGCCCAAGATTTTGAGCAGAACATCAGGGAACCAGGAAGGCCCTGCAGAGAACTTTTACACCAGGCAGAAAGAAATTAGAGGTGGAGATAGGAAGTTAGCAGGGCTAAAATGCCCCCAAGAACTCTTCCCCCAGTCGTCCACTTCCTCAAGCTCAGCCCTGCCCACTGTGTACATAGCCTCTCAAACCAGTGTGGGCATCTGGAGACCAAGGTTCAAATCATGAGCACTGCAAACTCACCCCACAACAAGGGTCATTGTCCCGTAGGCTAGCTTTGCAGAATCAGTATCCCAAACGTGGAGCCAGCAAGATGGCTCATCAAGTAAAGGCTTGGGAAGCACGGTGGTTTGTTGTTGTTGTGTTTTTGTTTGTTTTTGTTTTGTTTTTGTCAGCTTGACACAGGCTAGAGTCATTTGGGAAGAGGGACCCTCAGTTGAGGAAACACCCTTATCCAATTGGCCAGTGGGCAACCCTATGGGTTATTTTTATTATTTAATGGTTGATTCAAGTACACCTAGTCCACGAAAGGAGTCGGTGCCACCGTGGACAGTAACCCTAGGCGGTATGAGAAGAAAGCAGGTGAACAGCATTCCTCCGTGGACTCTGCTTCAGTTCCTGCCCCAACCTCCCTTCAAGACGAACTGTCATTTGGATATGGAAGCTGCAATAAGCCTTTTCCTGCCCGAGTTGCTTTTGGACATGGTGCTTTGTCCCCGAAATGGAAACCCTAACTAAGACACCTGGATACCTGAATTTTGATAGCTGGAACCCACATAAATAAAAGTGGAAGGGCAGAATGAACCCCATGGACTTGTCCTGTGGTCTCTGCATAGCTATGTGTAGCAAATATACCCCACTCCCATCTCCCTCCCTCCCCCCCCTCTCCTCTCTCTCTCTCTCACACACACACACACACACACTAATAAAACAAAGTAAAATATTGTTTAATAAAGATGCCCCACAGGAGGCTGTTCTTGCATCAGAAGGAAAGGGAATTAGAGAGGAGATCAGGGTAGAGACCATGAAGGACCATCACTCTTTTCTCCTGTGAGCTGTGCCATTTCTCAGTCGGTGAGCAATGCTTGCACATGGCCCTCAGGGAAGAGAGAAGCAATGTCACCAATGGGTCTGTGCTCCTGAAACTTATCTGCTGCCCCTACCCAGGAGGGCTTAGTGGACACTGGGCAGTGGGTAGGTAGGAACTGTGTCTCCTTAGACACAGCCCTATGAACTTTCTTTGCTTTAGACCTTTATGATCTGATCCCATGCTGTCATTTGACTGACTGATACATAAGTAAGTACTAACTGTCTATTACATCAAGGGCACTTTGCAAGAAGCCTCCACATCCCCTGCTTCAAACATGCTTTGCATCTTATGCAGAGGAAGCTGAAGTTATGAGCCTTTGCTGAAACTTGCCAGCCTTTACCCAGAGTGGGCGGTACAATGGAATTCACAGCAAGCTGTAGTGAGCCTTCAGCTAGCCATTACCTCTGCATCCTGCCTAGATTTCCCAACTCTGGGTTAGGGAACGGGACACTCTGCTGTCTGAGCCTATTCCTCCTGGAACCATGCCACCCTCACAGCCTGGACAGCTCAAGAGCTGATCCAAGTGCCACAGATCCGTTTCCGCTGTCTATTCATTGGGTTTTCTCTCCTTCATCCGAAGGGTCGACTCTCTGAGGTTAGGATGTCTCCAGTCAGCAGATTTATCTTTAACCAAATGAGAATACCCAGTTTCACTTTTTTTCTAGTTTCCTCAGTGAGGTCCCAATTTTTCTTGTCTGCTGAAATATTAATAATGTATATTGTAGACTCATTTCTTCCTTTTCTTGCCTTTTTCCTTGTACAGCATGTTCTTAATACAGATATCCATCCACAAGTATGAAACAGATTTATAGACACATTAAAATTTGATCCTACAATAAAATCTAATATCAATTAAATGAGATCTATGGCTGCAATTTCATTCTGTAAGAGGTACATGTTTACTCAACAAGCAACAGTTTCACCCTTGTCTTTGAGAACAAGCTGTCACCCAAAGACACCAAACTTTCAGGGAGAAAGATGGGAGGCATTCTCTCAGTGTGCAGCTCAAGGGACTAAGCTGAGCCCTGACTTTGAGCCTGACCTTCTCTCACTCCCAAGTGTGACTTTGATTTCTTCCCACTCGAAGCTTACCATTTTCCCTAACGTAGATGACCCGTCTGATCCTTCTTATTGAAACTTAAGAAGAGAAGATTCTCTAGACACACCACCAATGCCTGGAGATGATGTGTCCTGACAATGTAACACACTTCTGGGACATCGTGCAACACATTCCAGACCACAGTGCATCACACTTCCAGACCATCATGCACCACACTTACAGACCATCATGTACTTCCACAGAAAATTAAGATTTTCTGTTTTCTGAACTTGAGCTTGGACACTCGCCTTCATGGAAGGCTGGGTGGCAGGCTGGTTGTGCCATTCTCTGGTACTAGAAGGCTCTATGTGGTTACAGTTGACTTCAGTGACCTCTTCTTGCTTCAGGGTGGGGCCTATTGTTCTGTTAGATACCCCAATTCTCTTCTTCCCAACTAGCAGAAAAAAACAAGCAAAACAAGCTATTTCTTTCCCAGAGTAAAAATTTCCTGTGTGCATGCCATGGTCAGGGTGCCATAACAAAACGCCTTAGGAAGAAGCAGGGGCATTTATTTCTTAGAGTTTTGGAGACTGGAAGACTCTGTTCAAGGTTGCACAGGGTCAGGCTCTGGTGAGGGCTTTCTTCCTGGTGTTACAGATATCTGCTTCCTCTCTGTGTGCTCTCATGTAGCAGAAGGAAGAGAGGGAGCTCTCTGGTTTCTCCTCCTCCTCCTCTTTGTCTCTCTCCTTTTTATTTTCCAGTGTGTTATCTTTAATCAAGTGTGAAGCCCCCACCTCTCTGTTAGATCAGTTTCTTCTCTCTCTTCAGCGATGATAAGCCGTAACTTTTCCCTTTTCTAAGGACATCGGTCACAGTGGGTGAGGTCTCATTAACCTTCTTAACTCCTTTAGAGAGTGCACGTCCTCGTAAGCCACATTGGAAACACTGTTTCAATCTCCAGCACCTTTCTTTGGGTGCTATCTAACTGTTAAAAACACAGGGGCCTATCATGACTGCCCAACAAGCAGCTGAAAGAGTCAGATGCAGATATTTACACACACCCATAGGACAGAAGCTGGAGACCCCTGTGGTTGAATTGGGGAAAAGCTGGAAGAAGCTGAGGAGGAGGATGATCCTGTAGGAGGACCAACAGTCTCAACTAAATTGAACCCCTGGGATCTCTCAGACACTGAGCCACCAGGCAACATACACCAGCTGATATGAGGTCCCCAACACATATACAGCAGAGGACTGCCAGGTCTGGACTCAGAGAAGACTCACCTAACCCTCAAGAGACTTGGGGTCCCAGGAACTGGGGAGGTCTGGTGGGGTAGGGGTGGGGATGGGGTCATCCTCTTGGAGATGGGGGGAGGGGGAAGGGTGTGGGATGTGGAACAGTCAGAGAGTCAGAGGGTAGACTGGGAGGGGGATAAAGCCTGGATTGTAAGAAAGAAAGAAAGAAAAAAGAAAGAAAGATAGATTAAAGAATAATAATAATAATAATAATAAACCCAAACATTGGCCGAGTCTGGCTGATTTTGAGCTCAGTTGTCAGTTTGCACTTCTTGACAGACATGACTTCCTCCAGTGTCCCCGCCCCTTCTGGCCTTAGCCCACCTCCCAGCCACACCGTGAGATCACTTCTCTTCCTTTTGTTCCTTGGGATAGTTTGAGTGTGCTGTAAGCTGATTTCTACTCTCTGCATCTTGGAATCTATTTGAGCTCCGTTTGCTTCCCTTGCTCTGTTTACTGGACCAAGTCCTCATCCTCTACATTACTCTGTTGGTAGCTTCTGAAAGCCTCCTTGATCCCTTTAGCCTATCATTTTTCTTCATTTTGCTTCCATTATCAATAATGCTTATTGCCTGACTCAACAGCCTTGTCTCTCCAACACAAAGAGCCTGCTTCTTGCTTTTACAGCAGCGATTTTCTAAGGGTAAGCACCACTCCCTTGCTTTTATCCCTAGCCTACACTTTGCATCACACCCCAAGCAGACAAGCCTTAGTTAGAGTTTACAGCAAAATGCCACCAGGACACCTTTCACACGGTTCTGGTGATGTTCATGAGACCCAGTGGGGGAAAAACAAAAGAACAGAGCTGTGGTGAATACCCTGAGTCAAACCAAGCGCCCCACAGAGCTGCACAGCCTGTGTATCCAACCTGAGCCCATGTTTACCTGCTTTTATGTAGAGCTGAGCTGTTGCCATAGAAACGGAGGCACCAGCCTTTCCCATTCATCCTGCATGTGTAGCTAGCAAACACAGCTGCTGTGGTTTTCTCTGGTACTGTATGAATATGTGTGCACATGTGTGTATGTGTGTGTATGCATGCACTCACACAGGTTAAGTGTCAATGCATCCTCATGGCCTGACATGCATGAATTCCCACTTCCACACCCAGTGTCCACTCTGCCCTCCTTGTTGGAAATCAGAAACACCCCTATTCCTGAGCACTACCCTTTAGGCACAAATCAAACCTCAACATGCAAGTACGTTTTCTACCTTGCTTCAGATACAACGTCCCGTCAGATACTATAACACATAGAACTATGAAATAGTAACAACTTGCAAGCAAATGGCCTGCCCTGAGAGTGCTCTAGATGGAAGTTGCACATGCCCAGTGAGGCACACAGTAGGCCTGCTGCTCCACTGAGGGTGGAAGGGAGAAAGGCCAGGAGCCTATGACCTCAGGGACCCGAACCACTGCCGTTTCTCTCTCGGGTGGAACACTGCCAGCTCATTCTGACTCTGCTTCTGCACAGAATCCAATGGCCTAAACTCAGCCAGCACAGTTTATCTGCAGACACCTGAGGGAACATTAACCCAATGGAACAATCACTCCTTCCCTCCAGGGTGCCTCCAGCCAGTTCTGCCTTCAACTTTCTTTGGGACCTGACATGATATGAAAGTCATTTGAAAAGAAATTTCTGCAAAAGACTGAGTGAACTTTCAAAAAGGTTCCCGGCATGGTGACAGGAGGCCTGCTCTCTAGCTTGCTTCTGCTTACACAGGCTGTGTGGTCATTTCACTTCCTGGGCCCTCAGATTGGTCCCCGATGGCCCAGAGATCCCTCAGTGACAGATGAATGCTAGCCACAGATGCCTGGAGTGAGTTCTGCAGCCACTTCTGAGGCAGAGCATCAAAGCTCGGCCGGCCACGGGAGGAATGAAAGGTGGCTGCTTGCTTTTTTCCTTTCTTTTTTACTCCCTTTTTCTTGCTTGCTGTTAAGCTCTTGCAAACTTATCTTTTGGCTGGGAACACGCTGTTCTCTCAAGCTGCCAAAATAGCGTGAGCAGGAGCTGCAGCCTCTTCTGAGGTGGAACGAATTCCTCATCACTCTGGTTTAGTCATTTTTGCCTTGGGAAAGCCAGCAATTGCCTTCTCCAAGAAGGCGGCCTTCATACAGAAGGAGATTAATGGACACTGTGGGGTAAACAGAGTTGCAAGTGCGAGACAGTTCAGTCCATCACTGTGCAAAGCTTGGAAGCTCACAGTTGGCCAAGCTGGGCTGCTCTGCATTGGTGAACCCCACAAACTAGCTCCCAAGCTAACCACAACCAAGACGCAGGGCGGAGATCCACTCTTCCAAAGCCAGGGAGATATGCGCAGTAGTGCCTTCGGCAGGACACCCCTCACACCCCTGGGCAAGTTGTCCCTGAGCCTGAGCAGCCAGGTACAAGCCCCCAATTGCTGTCTTCCTGTTCCTTCACCCCATAGGCAGATAGCTGAGGTGGAAGACAGGTTTAAAGTTCTCTCTGGTCGTGGGGCTGGATTCCAGTTTACTAGCATGTTCTTTTAAAAGTAATTTTAGAAGCAAGATTATTTTGAAAGTTTACTTACAAGTTCCTCTCACGTTCCTCCACAAGCACACAGCATGCCCTTGTGGAGGCTCGAAGGCTTAATATAGATCAGGGAAGGGGAAGCAGCCGTGAGAAGGTGGCCACATCACCCTGAATCAATTTCCTCCACAATGTGACTAAGTTATTTAATGGCATCAAGGGTAACAACTTACAAAGGAACCACAGATTTGATTCTAGCACTTTCCTTAGATGATGTTCCATACATTAACTCTAGGAAATAATATAATAGGATATTTTCAACACAATAAGTTATGGAAATGGGGATCCTTCTCTTTCTACCCTTTCCCCACTCACTGTGCCACGGGAAGGGACAGACTGGTCTTGCCCTCAGCCCCATCCACAACTGAAAAGTCAGGTTTCTGGATGAGCCCAACCTCAGAAATCTAGTAGGTGTTTCAAAACTACACATAGTGCTTACCAGCTTAGAAATTTAGCTCTCTGGATAGAAAGACCCTTGTTGTTTACAGGATTTAGAGAAGTCTCAAAAAGTCTGTATAAAACCAGTCAATATTTTCTGTAAAAGCTTTTATGTTAAATTTTACAATTCCTGGCAAATTCAAGTGTTGTCGGGAAGGATGTTGTCTTAAATATCATTACTAATAACAGTTTTGATTATATGACTGAGTGAAAAGTTATAGAAATTTCAAGGTATCAAGTCATGTTTTCAAAATTATTACCCAGGTGCATTTACAAACTTGGCAGTATTTTTAAAGATGCACCTACACATCAAGAAATGACATTTACAATTCGTCTCCTGATTAAATTATCAATTTTCTCTCTTCTTAAAATATTTCTCTTATCTATTTCATATATGCTATCTGGACTCTTCGACAATGCCAACAGTTTTCCTGTCTCCCTAAAATTTTGGAAGTGTCATTCATTTTGATACAACTGATAGATCAATAGGTATTTGTTGAAACTTTTTCAAATGCTTAGACATTGAGAGACGTAAAAAACAAATAAGCTTCCAAATTCTGATTTTTAAAAGACTTGTAATTTATAAAAGAAACAAATATGTGTCTACCTATGTGTCACATAATTTGGGGGCAGGGCAGATTTAAGGAATTAGTTTATTCAATTGTAGATTTGTAGTTCTAAAATCTGCATCCACAGATAATTTTTCCTTCATTGAAATTTTGAGAGTTTCATTCATTTTGATTCAGTTAAATGCAATTTAATCTGTTGAGAGCAAGTTGAAGCTATGAGACAGAACTATAGATCCAAGATAGAGTTGATATTGGATCCCAAGGTCACTGGTGGTTTCTATGCAGAATTATTTTTTTCTTAGAGACACCAATCTTTAGTTCTTTAACTGAGTAAATGAGATCCGCCTCTTTGATAGGTACTTTATGCAAAGTTTATTGATTCAAATGTAAATCACATTTTTTTTAAAAAATGTTTTCATGGTAGTGTATAGAATGTTTGGCCAAATAGCTACATGTGATGACCTAGCCAAATTCACATACAAAATTAACAAGCACAACCAGACTGGCATCAATGGAAAAGAAAAAATAAAATGTAGAGATTTGTTTGTTTGGTAGCTGGGTAAGAACAAGAAAAGGAACAGAGGTGATCCCGGTCTTTCTGTAAGAGCAATTTACGTATGGAGACAGTGGCTCAGGGTTCTGACAGGGTGTCAAGATAAGACACCCATCTACTCTATGATAATTTTGGGTATAATGGGTAAAACCTGAGAATTAGCCACACAGCACAATTTGGCCTCCCCAACAACAGGGTCACATTGAACTTGAAACTATGGGATGAATGGACTTTCTGAAGAGCACCCTATTGGGACGAAGGACTGTGGGGGGAGAACAAAGATCTCCCTTTACGAGAAGTGGTCATAGGAGACCATTTTGCACTTAGAAATTAGGGTTCCTAGAGCAAAGCTCTGGAACTGGCTGCCTTTGAGAGAGGAGTTTATGCTGGGAGAGCTGAGGTGTGGGAAGGCAGTCTCTCTAGTTAGGAGTACGCATGAACAGTGGAGGGGACTGGTGAGAGCGGAGCCAGCAGGGGAAGACAGAAAGAAACATCCAATGATGGGCAGAGGCACAGGCCGTAGCCGCAGCCTACGTGGTCCTTCTTGTCCAGACGACTGATCCAATAGCAGTGATGGGGCCCCAGGTGAGGAAGGGTCAAGCAGTGAAGATCTGGGTGAGGGGCCTAGAGCGGGGAAGAAAGAGGAGACCCAGGGAATGGCCCTGATCTTTGAGACTAGGTTTTTAACAGCTTCGGGAAGAGCCATTTCAAAGGTAGATCCAAGAGCCAGGAAGGGCGGAGTCTGCCCGAGCGGAGCAGTGCTGGGGTTGTGGAGGAGGAGTAGGAAGGCCATGATGGGGAGAGGGAAAGGTACAGGAGGCACCCTAACAAACAATGAACACTGGGTGAGGCTTGGTACAGGAAGCAGCCTGGCAGATAGTGAACACTGGGCAGGGCTTGGCATTCTTTGAAGAAGAAAGGAGGAAAGTGGAGGGTGTTTCCAGTTCTCTCAGCAAAAAGGTGCTATAATCCTGTTATGCTCTGGCAGGGAAGAGGTACAGATTGAGGGTTCCTTCAGGACAGTCTGGAGCAGGTAAGAAAAAGTTGTAATTATGACTCTCCAATGCCCCCAGGGGAGTTTCAAGAGTCCCTTAAAATTCCCATTTGGAATTGGATTTAGAGTGGGGCTGAATGGCCAGGTGAGCTTCCACCTTAAAGACCCCTACAAGTGGGTTTTACTTGGAGTAGAGGAGAGGGATGTGGACATCTCAAATTCAGCTGCAAGATGTCATTTTAGTGCTTCCTGTGACTCTAGAAAATGAGAAAACTGCGTCCAGCTGTGGCCCTTAGCCAGGTCAGCACCAATGCTCCTTAGTGACTTTGAGAGTACACAGTAGTATCCGTCCTCAGTCCTCTCAGCTTAACAGCTTCTGACAGCAAGACAAGAAGGGCGACTGTGTAGAGTCCATTCTGATTCCAGTGTTAGATCAGGATCTGGGCTTCAAGGAGCTGCCTGGGGTTCTGCCTATAAGGAGAAGCCATCACGAAAATTACTGTAAGATCCAAGAGTCAGAAGCATCCTTTAGTTCTCCCATCATCACGGAAGCTGTGTCATTTTAGATGTGTTGAGCCGTAGAAACATAAACGGTTCAAGGTTCATCCCGGCCCAGGAACTCCTCCGAGAACCAAGACAGCTGCAGGTGTCTTTGGAAGGTGTGTGGTCTCCTGTATGTAAGAACTATCACAACTTTTAACTTTAAATTGTGACGGTCTTTCCTGCACAGCCGACAACAGGCGATTCAGTGTTTCCTTGCCGAAAGAGGAACTAGAATGTTGAGTGTCCAGTCAGTTGTCCTGACTCTGCCTGTCCTTTACATTGCAGAGCCACAGGCTCAGCTGGGCTTTCTTGGGGAGATTATGTTATGTCACTTACAGGTCCTGGTTATTTTTGCAACTCCTCTATTGAACCTGTGTCACCTTTGACACCCAGGCTATCATCTGGGCTTTCTCTTGGTGGAGTGCACCTTCAAGCATAACTGTGCACTAGGTAGGTTCCCAGGTCCCCTGATCACCAAGATTCGGACATATAAGGAAACCTAGATAGAACACGTGAGTCGGCTTTTCCTTCTTTACTAGTTGTAAGCATAGAAAGGTTTCCTTTGGCTCCGTTCTGGACATTTCAGTCCACAGCTGGTTGTTCCCTTGCATTTGGGCCTCTGGAGAGACAACACATGGGGGAAGTTGCTTGCCTCATGGAAACTGGGAAACAGAGAGCCCTAGCAACCTATTAGGGCTCTCTGTTAGGACTGCTTCACAAAGTTACAACTACCTCCTCATAGCTCCATGGATGAGGACCAAGCTGTTAGACCTTTAAGAAACATTTAAATTCTAAGCTATAGCATCGAGACATTGATGTGGGAGACGAAGGTATGAGGGTAAAGGTGGGTGGGCTTTCTGAACCCTCCTGGAGATAGAAGATGGTGGAACTGTGGATGAGGGGTGTGTCTTTGCAGAGTGTGTCTTGCCCTGTCCCCTTCCTCTCTGGCTTTCCTTCCTGAGGGTCACAATGTGAGCAGCCTCCGACATGTGCTCCTGCACCAGGACACACTGCCTACCGAGAGCAATGGAGCAAGTGAACCATGGGTTGGATCCTATCAAACTCTCGTCTGGAAGAACTCCTCCCTCCCTATGCCATTCCTCTCAGATAATTTTCACAGTGATAGCAACGTAACAAAACAATGAAGACAAGTTCACCAGTTGGAGAAGGAAGATGAGAAAAAGTCACAGGGCCCTGAGAGTTCTAGCATTGCCTGAGCAGGTACTCAGCCAAGCCTGTCCCTCTCTCCAGCCCTTGCCCAGACAGCCTTGCAGACCATGGGCATGTGATTCACTGTGGCCAACAAGACCACAGGGAACTTGAAGAGGAGTCTGTAGAAGAGTTCTCCCTTTCTTAAACGACATACCCTGGAAGGGATGTGTCCTACTGGACATGACTGTAACAACAAGGCTGGATGATGGGACGTTCTGGGTCCTTGGTGGCGTCTTTGATCCTCTCTGCTCCCAGAATGCTGATGTAAGAGGGAGCAGATATCCCAATTTTTATCCATAGTTTCTAAAGTTGGCCTTAGTACAAGAGGCCTGAAATCCTAGCTACTTGAGAGGCTGAGGCAAGAGGGTCACATGTTCAGCTTGTTTGGGTATCTTAGTGAGGCCCTTTGTCAACAGCAATGATTGGTGATGATAGTGGTAGTGGTGGCGGCCACCATGGTGATAGTGAAGGAAGAGGAGGAGGAGGAAGAGAAGAAGAAAAAGAAGAAGAGGAGGAGGAAGAGAAGAAGAAGAAGGAGGAGAAGGAGGAGGAGAGGAGGAGGAGAGGAGGAGAAGGAGGAGGAGGAGGAGAGGAGGAGGAGAGGAGGAGGAGGAGGAACATGAACAAGAACAGGGAAGGAGCTGGGAACGTAGGTCAGTGATTGAGCATCTGCCAGCGTGTTCAAGGCACTGCACTCAATCTCCAGTACCACAGAAAGCAA